ATTAATTATTTCTTTTTTTAGTTTTTATTTAATTATTTTTATTCTACGCTTCTTATTTTGATTTTCGTTCTTATAATAACTATATTTAAATGAGATTACATCTTAGAAGCCAGTTCAGACAAGACAGATATCTGATAGATATATATCGGCTCAGAAAGGTCTTGTGTAATAATAATCATTGGCCGTGAAACCCAGTCCATTGAAAAGATGATAAGAAACCAATACATTATATAACCGACAAATTCCTTTCAAAAAGAAAATTACTTTTGAATAAACTCTTTATTGTACTTGCAGTTTTTAGGCGAAGTAATTCTTAGAACGTGTTAATGAGCTGGAGTTGTATTGAAACGTTTTGTTTTATTGCCAGGGTTTAGACCGATTATCCTGAACGGAAAAAAACAATTTAAAAGCTTCATCCGATAAGAAAAAAAAAGAGTTCTAGATGTAATACCATGTGTGCCATTAGAACCTTGATAATAAGAGGCGCTTTTTAAAAAACAAGAACAAAACAAAGTAAATGAATAAATCAGTGGTGAACAAAGCAGTCGAGTTCAACATTTGAATCAAAAGTTAGTGGGAATTCCATTCAATAATGTATATATCAGTGCCTTTGTGGGGGCGTGCGTGTAAAATGATGGATATCCTCATGTCAATCATCGTCAGTCAAGAAGCAAATAAAACTTGTTGACAGCACCGAACATAAGAAAGTGCTCAACTACGTACCAATTATTGGTTATGCAAGTTTTTCTACTAATGAGGAGTTTAAGCGCTGTTAAAGCGCTTAAAACCTCGGGATATATTTCTGGATAGAGTTACATGGTCAGTTATGAAGCAAGTTCGTGTTTGCTAATGCTACACGCTGGGAATCTTGGATTAGGATTGAACGCATATTTGAAGTTAAATTCAAAAGACACTATATCGGCAGCTGTTCTTCACTGACGGGACTGAAGGAAACAGTACTTGAAAAATCGAAATACGTAGTTTCGTGGGATACGTCTGCCTAATATAGGTCACGTCAAGATTGTCAGTGGAACTCGAGTGTTCGTTAATGACATCCCTAAAATAGCTGGCCCAGGGAATCGATACGTCAGTACATTTGAACATAACAGATCCTACCTTACTCGCCGTCGAGCGTCGATTCCACTTCAATTTAACACTTATAGTGTCGCCACAAATATTCCGTGAGCTTTAGTACAGCAACTCAAGAAAAGTTTGTTATTTCTTTTGACGTTCTACTATGAGTAACATAGGTTACATTATGGATAATCGTAGCCTGAGAACCTCGAACAATACCCGAAATAGTACATCGATCAACAGGACAAGCGAAACGATAGAACTCAGTGCAAGAGTAATTGTATCAATAGCACTGATGATCATCATTATATTGGGAAACTCATTGGTTATTTTAGCGTACAAGAAGAACCATCGTCTTCGCACAGGAACCTACACTTTTTTAGTTAGTTTGGCCATTAGTGACTTTCTCGTTGGAAGCGTCTCACTTCCCTTGTGGATCTACGGTTCAGTCCAAGGGTGGCCACTGCCCGATAAAGTTTACACGTTCTTTATATGCTTCGATATATTCAGTGCTCTGGCTTCGACGTTGCACCTCTCTGCTGTCAGCTTGGAGCGTTTTGTTGCGATTTCTAAACCGTTTTACTACAAGACGATTACCTTTCGCTCGTATTTTGTCTGGATTGGGGTTGCCTGGGGTCTGGCGTTCGTCGTCGCTGCACTTCACCCACGAATTCTAAGCACGGTGCTCCCAATTCCTAAAGATTCGATTCACTTCATGTACCAAGTCCACGGAATTGTCTTGTTCTCGTGTGGGTACCTTGCTCCAATGGTTCTCATCACAACAGTCAATATAAGGATTTTTAAGATTGCAAAGAAACTGATCAGGAACATGGCAAGGCCAAGTCAAGTGACAACAAACCGTAACTCGAGCTCGATCTTGAATTACACCCGGAGACGATTACCAAAAGAGCGTAAAACAGCCATAACACTGGTAATGATTACAGGGTTATTTTTCGCCGCTTGGCTGCCATTTTTTATCGTTAACATGTTAAGTTTGTACTGTTTAACGACATGCCTTTCCCTGGACGAGCGCAAACTTCTCATCATAGTAGAATTCACCAAATGGCTTCATTACAGTAACAGCGCCATTAATGCAGTGATTTACGCATTTCGTGATATTGAGATGAGGAAAACGTTCATATCTTTGCTGTGGCCCTGTTGCAGGCCTTGTAAGGGGAGTCGTGTAGATCCAACATCACCAGGCCCGAGCGTATTGCGAACTCGACACCACAGCTCTTCGTCCGTTTCTAAGCTGCCCGAGTTCCTTGCAGCGAAAGAAAAAGAAACAGATCATGACTTGGCATGTTAAATGGTACATCAATCCGAGGAGAAAAACAGCAACGACAATAGCAGCAGTAGACATTGAACTGTAGCAGAATCAGTAGCAGCAATGACAACAGCAGCACCAGCTGTTCAGGCATGTGTTATCATCATCATCACTAATAACCATCGTCATTATGTACCATCATCATCATCATTATCATCATTATCATCATCATCATGAACAACAATAACTTTAAAACATGAACCACACACCTTTCATTTTCGCATGAAATTAAAAGGGAAAGTCCTGTCAGTAATTCCTAATCGTTAATAGTTGTATATTATTGTAAATAACTGTAAGTAGCCAATCCATTTCCCTAATATTTATGATATCAAGTGTAAAAGAGTACTCAAGTGTTCATTTTCAGTGTTCATTCTAGATGCTCCTGCTATTTTGGCTTCACTTCCTATTTTTATATTTTTTTTGCTCCTTTTATCTGTACCGTTCTCCAAAATTAGCAGATAAGAAGCATTAGCTTTGTAGACACCAGTGAAGGATTATCTGTTACGTATATTAATAGAACGATCTTATATTATTTCTAGTCCCCGATTCGATTCAGACCACTTGTCATTCCCTTGAGTATTATTCCTTTTTCTGACCAATGACACCTTAGAAGAGACTTTTTAATGTTAGAATATGAATGTGTCTCCCTAAACAAAGAATCTTATTCTCAATGGAATGATGTGTTCGTAGTCTGAAATGGGAAAACATTAATATATTGCGTACAAAGACGTATTTCTGCTGTATATTTGTAGTTAGCCAGAAGGATGACAATATGAGATAATGCAGAGCTTCTTACCACATGTGGTCATGCGTTGGACCCGTCTAATTTTCTATTCGGGTAGATAGAGCTATTAATTTATTGCTTCGAGGGTTTTCCAAAAAATCAACCTCTAAATCATAATGCATAGTATGTCTCTGGTTCGAAAAGCCAACAAGCAGACACTCCCTTTACTTATCAGATGTTATAGAATAAATTATACTTTCATTTTACGAAGCAAAGCTGTACATAAATACCTGCTGTAGATACCGTGTCATGAAAATAAAGGAATTGTCTTTCCTTTTTCTGCTTTCTTTTTATTCATTTATTCATTCGAGTTCTTCTCTTTATAATTTAAATCAGTAATAGGCATCAAATCACGTTCCAAACAATACATACTGCTCTCATTATTTTTAAATATATATCAAGACCTATAAATATTGTAAGTGTTATAAAATCCCCATGAAGTGTGGTCAGTAGCAACGATAGCAGAGTAAACATGTGATCACTTAAACTCTTAACTCGATTTTGTGAAACACTTTCAGTATCCAGCCATGATGCACAGTAGGATAATGTGTTGTTTATCTTAGTTGATAGTGCACTGATTCCACGGCCTAAGTAGTTCTAAAGTGCAAGACACTCAAAGTCACTCCAAGAAAAGCCTTAGTTTAATTTTTTGAACGGTCAATAAAAGGTGGCATCTTTTCTTGGAGCCGTTTTAGTAAGATGAATTAAAGTAATGGTTTCCATTATTCTTGAGATACCGAAACTAAGAGTATAATTTATACTCAAAGTATTATTCAGCTTCTTAACTGACGGCCAGTTCTTGGTTACTTGGAAATCGAACTCAAGTTTGTCGAAGCTCTTATTGTTGACGTAATACAGAGTGGTTTAGGAGGAAAGCAGGGAATATCTTGGACCTGATTGCATGCATGTAATAATGATATCTTAGATTTTGTGAGAAAATCATACATAGTACTCATACATGTAATTCTGACGTAAATACACGGGCATTAACATCATTTTCCTGCTTTAAAATTCCTTCTCTTTCACCTCTCTTCAGTCATTCATTTCATTATCTTAAGACCCGTTCACATGTTTGAAGGCGCTACTTCTTTTCCCAGGGGACGCCAAAAACAAAATTGCCCTCCTTAAATCCCATCTAAACCTTACTATCCGCTTACTGTATGTATCTATAGTGATGATGGCGTGGGACATCCTAGGACCCCTTGGACGGGGCTATGGTTACATCCACAACCAATGGTACGTGCAGCTTTTATGTAATTAGTCAGCATGGGATTCTCTGTTAATCCTTGTGGACCCTCTTAGACACTTATGGGTGCATGTCAAACGCTGCTACTGAACTTGAAAACTGTCTAAATAAAGAGAAATGTATTTGCACTTTTTCAAGTAGATTTTTAAAGTGTTCGGAAGGTGAATTATCCTGACTTGAGGGGATCAGTTCAGAGTGGTAGGGCCATTAGTTAAATAGATGACTTTTTTTCAAGGCTCTCACCTTCGTTTTGGAGACATGCGTAACGAAAAGGACATTCTAGCTGGGGTTAAAAGCTAAAAAAACAAATCCAAATTCTGAATGACATAGATTCTCTAGACCAAAGTTTGATTCGGACTACCTGAAAACAACAATGACAAAAACCTGAACCGTCTATTATCGAACACAATGACAATGTACTCTATGTGTATTTCACATTCTTTACTTGCCTTGTGAAGTGTATTCTGTTTGTTTTTTGGTATATAGTTTTGTACATCAGGATGATAAATAATAACTCTTTGAAGTTTATAAATACTGTGGATCTTACTTGAGCTACAGTGACATAGAATGTATTTAAACGCGATATGTTGTTAAATGAATTTATCTAAACTGCTTGAACCCCGGCCTGTTTTTTCTCGTGGTCGGTATTTTGGCTTTCAGCTTGTCGTAAAAGCGAAAAGAGACCTCACCTCATAAGTCATAAGGGAACAGAAAAAGACACCAAAGGCCATTATAGAACATTGTCGGCCTTACATAAAATAGGGAAGAACACTTAGTATGCACTCAGCAACACCCACCTTTTTCCTAAACTAGTCTCTTATATTTTCCAATCTTAACCCTCCCCTTTTTTTAGGGTGCTCCGCGGCCCATGGTATAAGTTCCTTGGTTTTCTCGCCGATGCATCTGTTGTAAATATAGCCACTATTTATAGATTGAATCAATGTTTCGTTCTTTTCCTGTGTAACATCATTCCGAAGTAAAACAATACTTCAATTTAAGAAGTACGGTTTTTCTTCCATAGTTTCAGATATTTAGACTTAAAAAATCTAAAGTTGGCGTAGCCTTATCCACAAAAAATATGTTCATTACCCCCTGTTCTTTTCGTATCGTTTAATTAAGCAACAAACTTTTATCCAAAAAGCACTAATAAAGAAACATTCGACTTTATGATCGTGAATACTTCATCAGGGGAGTCATCACTATGAAGAACAGGACGTGCAATCTTAAAATATACCCCCAAACGACAGTTGTTTACTTGCCTATATGGCTTACAAACGTAAATTAGCATATATAACCGTGTGTTGATACTTTTAAACCAGTATCTGAAAAAAAACTAAAAAGAAATGCTTTTTCGCTTGTGAAAATCAAAAATATACGCGTGTTTTATGGAAAACTGAGCATTGTGGGACACCTTCCAATCTCACGATCGCAGAATTCTGTTCACATATGATCGCAAACGATCGCAAATGATCGCAGGAATAGAACCCGATTCTATTCCTGCGATCGCGGAGCTGTTCACATATAATCGCACTCGATCGCCAGCGATCCTCTGCGATCGTCTGCGATCGTCTGCGATCATATGTGAACCAGGCTTAACAGAGATTTTGTCGGAATGCTTTCATGTTTTGTTTGCTTAATAGGTTTTATTTCCGTCCTATGTCATTATGACTTCAACAATGTAAATATATACCCATCCAATACCATTAAATAAGAATTCTGAGCTTTTTCAAAACACTTAACCCTGGATAAAGTTGCTAAATATATAGTTATTGAATGCATTAACAAATATTTGACACTTTACTCAGGTTGAGAAAAAGACAGCATTTTAACGTCCAATTAGATTTTTAAAATCTAATTAAAAATACTTATAAATTTCTTCAGTTAGTTTATCGATTGAAGTTCGTACCAAAAAATCATATAAAAACTAATCTATGTCTGAGAACTATACTGTACTAGTATATTGTCAATATACTTTAATATTATATATATAATGAATAGTATAATATTTAATTGGATGATCTGATACTGTTCTCATAGATTGGAGCACTACGAAACGACAGGCTACTTCAGCAATTAATATTAGAGCACGCTTTTTCGGCCATAAAATATGCAACATGCAACAAAACCTTAACCAGCCGCGTTGTAAAACATTTTACTTTATATTAACCAGTAAATTTCAATTTCAATTTTCAATTCAATTTTATTTGTTTTTTAGTCTTTTTTTAGTGGTGCGATATTTGCGTCAAACGTAATCGTCCAATCCAATGTATTGATTTTTATTCCGATTCTTTTAGTCCTTAATGTTCCTACTTATGACAGGATCTTAAAAAATACGAAATTTTTTCCATTTCTTTGTATATAAGTTCCGACACAAAGTAAATATTTAGCTATTAGAAGTTGACAATATGGACAAAGGATATAACATGTTTTTGATATGGACCTTTCGATAGATATAGAATAGCAAATAAATTTACTTATTTACATTAGAGAACATAAGAGATATTTTAAAAGGGATTGTATATACGACTAAGATGCTTTATTTATAGTATGTTATGAGATGCCATGGAGATTACTTAGGTACTGTATAGAGGAATTGTAGAATATCATCATTTTTTTAATTAGAATTTTATGATAATGATTCAGTACAATATTATAGGGTACTGTATCTGTGCTGTATATCTGAGCATTAAACGATCTTTATACGAGTTAAATAAATATTACAAATTATTTTAAAATTCTGACCTTCAATAGAGTTAAGATCAGCTGAAAACCGTCCGACTTTGCTGGTCCCTCAAACAATACCAACAAAAAAAAACATACCAAAAACGAACGACTACACCACCTCTGACAACACCGACCAAGGAAAAACCAACAAAACCAAACAGCCAGAAGAAAAGCAGCAGTCAATAAGTGCTAATAAGACGTCTAGTCGGAAGGACGTCAAAAAGCTGTACACGACACCTACAGTGAAGGTAGCGACAAGAATAAAAGTGAATCAACGTTATCAATCATTAAAGACGTACACTTTCCCCAACCAACGCAAAACCAATTATGCATACATAATAAAAAATATATCTTTCATGGAATGAAGGGATCCAAGTCGTTAATGTATTGCCAGGCACAAGTATAGTGATCAGTGCTTATGATAAGGTGTGATGGGCTGGATGAGATTGATGAAATGTCTTGTTATCGTCAACAACTAAAAAGTCACACTTTGTGCAGAGTTTATAAAATACAATAACCGGAAGCTCACACTTCATTTTCATAATCTAGGTGCTTTACATCAACGTTGTGAAAGACTTTCACCATTATAGACGACGGAGTTAGTAGGATTTCAAAGTAAGATGGCTGATCTTGGTCCAATATAATAACAAAAGGCAGCTACCATTGACAACTACCCCTATATAGACCATTCCTCTTCTTTTCCAAAAGGGGCCGCACAAGTACTATTCCCCTCCATCGCCCTTCCCTCTCCTTAAGCCAAAGGATTGACACCACCTCCTATGTACGCCATTCCTCTTCTTTTCCAAAAGGGGCCGCACAAGTACTATTCCCCTCCATCGCCCTTCCCTTTCCTTAAGCCAAARGATTGACACCACCTCCTATGTACGCCATTCCTCTTCCTTTCCAAAAGGAGCCGCACAAGTACTATACCCCTCCACCACCCTTTCCTTTCCTTAAGCCAAAGGATTGACACCAGCTCCTATGTACGCCATTCCTCTTCTTTTCCAAAAGGGGCCGCACAAGTACTATCCCCCTCCACCACCTTTCCCCTTCCTTAAGCAAAAGCATAGACACCACCTCCTATGTACGCCATTCCTCTTCTTTTCCAAAAGGAGCCGCACAAGTACTATACCCCTCCACCACCTTTCCCTTTCCTTAAGCAAAAGCATAGACACCACCTCCTATGTACGCCATTCCTCTTCTTTTCCAAAGCGAGCCACAGTACTATTCATTTTTCTATTTTCTTTGTTAGCATTGAAAGCAACAACTATGTACACCATTTCTTTTTACATACAAAAGGAACAGTAC